CTGAAAGTGAAGAGGACTTATGCTGGGTTTTTTAGGAAGACAACATCCTGGTGTGTCAGTCTAGGATAAGTACTGGATTGCTAATCACAGGGTCTCTGGTTCAACCCCAACAGCCACTCCTTGGAAACCCTAACTGAGTCACTCACTCAGTTATGAGGAAGAACCAACTCAAGAAGGACGAGAGATGTTTACTGTCCTACCGCAAGGGTTTCTAGATCTTTTCCCTCCCAGTTGTCACAAGCTAACTGGAAGGAGTATCATTACCTTATGTGCTGTTCCTCTGTTCATCTTTTATCCTCTTCTTCCTTTATCAATAAGCTCCACTGGTCCTCCTCCATCCTCACTCTCAGCACCCAGAGTCTTCAGTGAACTGAACCTTGCCTTAGTGGTTTTTTTCTAAAAGATAATTGTTGTGCTGTTAAGTGCTGTAGAGTTGATTCTGATCCATAGCGACCCTGTATAGGGTTTCCTAGGAGCATCTGGTGAGCTTGATCCACAGGCTTTGCAGTTCAAACGACTTTACAGTCTGACGCATTAGCCCACAGCGCCACACCAGGATTAGGATGAGACTTTTCAGGCCAGTGTTTCGGATGCCACCTTCTTCTCCAGCAGGCTTTGGTATCCATCTACCTCTTGAGTGATACAACACTCAGTAAGATCATGGGGGATTGGAATGGAGCATGAACCAAGAGTAGGCAGGGCTGGGTTCAAATTCCCACTATGCCTCTTACCTCTGTGGAACCATGAGTGAAGTTCTTGACCTCGCTGGGCGTCTGAGCCTGAAGTTTGACAGCGTTGATTAGACTGTTTTTGAAGTTTATCTAGATGGAAAAATACAGCATATTTTCCTTTCTCACTGGTTTCTTTAACTCACTATTATGTGTGTGGGATTCATTCAGGTTCTTTCTTGTGACAGTTATTCATCCAGTCAGTAGAATTTATGGGGGAGTCCTGGTGTGGCACTGTGGGTTTATGCACTAGACTGCAAGGCTGGTTTGACCCACAAGGTCAGTGGTTCAAGCTCACCAGCTGCTCCTTGGAAACCCTATACAGGATCGCTATGGGTTGGAATTGACTTGAAGGTACTTAACAACAACATCATTCTCTCTTAGTTCTCTAGTCTGCTATAACAGAAATACCACAAGTGAATGGCTTTAAAAAACTGAAATTTATTCTCTCAGTTTGTTGTTGTTGTTAAGTGCTGTCGAGTCAGTTCTGACTCATAGTGACCCTCATGGGTTTCCAAGGAGTGGCTGGTGGGTTTGAACCACCAACCTTGTGGTTAGCAGTCCAGTGTTTATCCTACAGCGTCACATCAGGAGGCTAGAAGTCCAAATTCAGAGTTCTGTTTCTAGGGGAATGCTTCCTTTCTTAGTTGGCTCTGGAGGAATGCCCTCATTTCCGTTCAGCATCTATGAACCCAACATTTCTTGGAGAGCTCCATGTGTCTTGATATCAACCTATGGAAGAGATTTGCTTGTAGGAAGGGGGTTCCTTCCTGCCTTAAAGACCAACCCCAAGGAGAAGTGAGGAAGAGAGACTGGGTTCAGACTGGGCTGCATTGGAGTCATAGCAAAGACCTGGGCCAGTTGGAGCCCTGGGACTGATATGACCCTACAGAGTGGTGCTAAATTGGAGCAAGGAAACTGGACTTTTGTTTATTCCTCAGTGACTCATCACGGGATGCATATTGATCCGGGAAAGAGAGCATGATTTGGGGTGAGATGCCCTTTCTTCCTTAAGGGGTAGCAGTAAGGAGGGAAACCCGTCAGCTGTTGACATTCCAGCAGCTTCAAGAACGAGTGGTGTGGTCCAACAGTGCGTGTGTTGTGTGTGCGAGGTGGGTAGGGCGAATCTCAACACGACACCATCTTACCCACTACCGTTCCTCAGTGATTTCTGGGTGTTGAAGTGCTGATTCCTGAGATCCGTGCTGAGCTCCTTAGGTCATTAAGCTGATGAGCTTGGCTGCTCACTAGAAGGTGAGGTTTGACTCGGCTTGTAGGGTCTTGAAAGAAAGGCCTAGTAATGTACTTTTAAAAATCAGTCACTGAAAACCCCATGAAGTGCACTTGTGTGACACACTTGGGGCCACCGTGAGTCTGAGTAGACAGTGACACAGGACAGTGCTGATTCAATAAATGCTGCCAGACAAGATTCCAAAGTGGTTGTGCCTGCATACTCTCTTACTTTAAACACCAAGCTCTCCAAGTAGAATTCTGCCCTAAATAATAAACAAACATCTATAGGAGGGAAGCACGAATGTGAGAATATCACATATACTATACAATGCTGTAAGGAGCTCTGGTAGCGTAGTGGTTACGAATCGGGCTGTGAACCTTAAGATCAGTAGTTCGAAACTACCAACCACTCCACAGGAGAAAGATGAGGTTTTCTGATCCTGTAAAGATTTATAGCCTCGGAAACCCTGTGCAGGGTCGCTATGAGTCGGAATTGATGCCACGGTACTTAACAACAACAACAACATACAATGCTGTGGAGAGAGGCAACGTTAGGCACCATTGGGATGGACTGTCTGACATTCTTGGTTTTCTAAACGTTGTTGCCTCTGTTGAGGATGCCCTGAAATCTCATTCCGGAAGAAATCGATTCTACCTGTCCCCTTCTGTGCAGAGGAGAGGATAAAGAAGGCATATGAATTAATAGTTGCCTCACATTTTATTTTTCAGGGTGGCCAAATCCATGAAGGTCCCTGTGTATGAGACCCCAGCTGGATGGAGATTCTTCTCAAATCTGATGGACTCGGGACGGTGCTCGCTGTGTGGTGAAGAGAGCTTTGGCACTGGTAAGTGTCCTGGGTGGGCAACGGGGCTAGTCCTCTGTGGCTCTCTGTGACCCCAGGTTGGAGTTCTTTGAACTTTCTGAGAGCCAAAGGCTGGGAGCCAATTGTTGTTGTTAAGTGCTGTCGAGTCGGTTCTGACTCACAGAGGCCCTGAGTAGGGTTTCCAAGGCTGATGAGTTTGAATCACCAACCTTGGAATTCAAACACCAAAATTCCAATTAGAGGCAAAAAAATCTGAGAAATCTTCTGGGATCTCTTTGGCTATTTTCATTTCCTTTGTAATCGGCATTTGTATATATATATATATATATATATATATATATATATATATATATCTATATATATAGAGATATATATAGATATATACAAAGTTGGCGGTTCAAGCTCACCAGCTGCTCCTTGGAAACCCTATACAGGGTTGCTATGGGTCGGAATCGACTCGACAACAAACAACAAATATATATATATATATTCTTTTATTCTGGATTTTTTCAAATTTTTATGAGTAGAGAGAATATTGAATTCTCGCGTACTATCAGCTGGATGCAACCATCACCAACTCACCATTAACCTTGGGATATCTCCGCTGTAACTCACCAGAAAGTCCTCAGCCCCCTTGTTTATTTTGAAACAGTTTCCTATAGTGTCTCATTTTAACCATAAATATTTCAGTGTGAATATTTGAAAAGTGAGAGTTCTTTAGAAAAAAATATATACAACCACAGAGGCCATTTGGTGTTCTTGCTAAGTGCTACGGAGTCAGTTCCGACTCATAGTGACCCTGTATGGGGTTTCTGAGAAGCAGTTGGTGGGTTTCAACCACCGACCTTGTGATTCCCAGTCCAGTGCTGATGGACAGCACCACCTCAGACATCCAACAGTGCTATTGTCACATGGTGGTGGCCGCTACTTTCTCTGTGGTAAGCTGGGACAGTGTTTGTCATCTGCAGAGTCATTCATGTTCCCATCTCACTGGTGGGTCCAAGATGAGCTACGTTTGCATGGATTTTCTCAATACTAGGATGGAAATGACTTCCTCTTGCAGGTTTCCACATCTTAAACGGAAGGGAAACTCCAAAAGTAATGTCTTACTGACATTTAATGTCTAATCAATGTTGACATTTCCCTTATTCTTCTCAATGGCAATCTGTTTGGTTTCGGTTTGCCTTCTTCCACCTACCAAGCCAGAACCACCTGAGAAGTAGCCAGGCCCACCCAGATGGAGGGTGTTCTGGTCTTCCTGCCCACACCCCAGCAAAAGTGCTCTAATTCACAAAGGGGGGCTGTTTTCTTTTCCCCGACAACATCACTGTATCCCCTTCACCCTCATTAAACTCTGGATGAATTTTCTCAAGCTTTGCTGTACAAAAGTATATTCACTTTATGACAAAAATGGCAAGAACGAAGGAGGCACTCAGCTTACAACCCTAGAATGCTCCTCCAATGGAAACCCCAGCGTGGAGACATCAGTTTAAGAAAACACGCACGTGGCTGACCGATGATGTCATCACAGCTGAGGCCTGACCAGGGCAGTGAGGGGCTGGAAATGTTCCTCTGTTGCCCACTCCAAGCTGGAGCAGAGGATTGTGGGTCTCAGCCTGGCTGCATGGTAGAGTCACCAGGGAACCAGTACGGAGCCCGAGGGGTGCAGTGGGTAAGCACACTTTGTTTCTAGGTGCTGTGGAGTTGGTTCCAACTCAAAACAAACTCATGTTCAATGGAATGAAGCATTGTCCAGTCCTGAGCTGTCTTCACGATGGTTGCTACAATCAAGCCCATTGCGACTGCTACTGGTCCGTCTCCTTGGGAGTCTTCCTCTTTTTCGCTGACCCTCAACTTTACCGAGCATGGTGTCCTTCTCCAGGGACTGGTCTCTCCTGATAATGTGTCAGAAGTGTAGATGATGGAGTCTGGCTATCTTGGGTTTTAAGAAGCATTCTGATGCTCGTCACCGAGAAGGGGAAGAGAGGGAAAAACAGCAATGAAGCGGCGAGCTAAGCCCTACAACGTTCATTAGACTTCTGTGAACCCAGGTCAAGACCTGGTT